ATTCGTAAGCTGACAGTAACATTGGCTCAATGGCGTTAGTTTGGGGTGAGACTGCACAAATCTGTTTGATAAAGTAAAACCTGTTGAATGCAATTACGATGCTGGTAGTGCACAAATTACACACTTCACCTTATTATTGCTGCGATTTTAAAAAGACTGCATTATGACATTAACATAAAATAATAGCTATTTGCCAATTTCTGATAAAACCAAAAGCCTGCACGGTATAAAAGGAAACGGTTGACGTTTATTCGATTGTTTGACTTTAAATAAAAGTGTGATACGAAAGCTTGTAAGGAATGTGCTTTTTATTATCAACGCTTCGGGTGTGTGGAAGTCCTTTATACCCTCAAACCCTAGCAAGTACATGCTCTAATGCATACATTTTCAGATTCAGATTCAAACTCATGTAATGGAGATTTTCTGCTGCATTAACATAATCAAATCATCCCATGATGTGTGTCACTATATGCACCATTTGGTTCCCTTTCGTTTCAAATCTTTTGTGTATAGCTACATATTGAATTTATGTGAAAACGTGTATGTGTGTGTGTGTCTAGTCGGTCTTTAAGTAGATCTCAGCTTCAGAATAACAGCGTTACACTGATTTGAGAGAAGAGAGTATACGGAGCATTTGATTCGCGAACAAACCCGACATCTGCTCGCTCTCATTACCGGCACTGGAGCTAATCGGCAGGCCATAAGTGTGCTGACTCCGTCAATGTACAACAGCTTCGGTGAAACCACACAGCTGTGTGCGTGTGTACAAACCGCATGCAGTTCGGCGTCTGTGTGTGTGTGAGAGAGAGAGAGAGAGAGAGAGAGACACTGGCGCTACATTGCTCGTGCACGCTCCGTGCACCGTCCCGCGATTCACGCTCGCGCACATCGACCTCTGGTTAACTCGCCCACGACTGCTTATAGATTAAATTTGCACAAAAATTAAAAATTCATTTTCACTCTGCAACTGATGGCCATCTTAAACCGATGACGCAATTCTTGTTGTCAGCTTCTTTAGAAATTTATCTCTTCTTCCTGCTCTTTTGTCAGGCGGGAATTCACCGCACGTGAAACACGTTTAGGGGACACACGCCTCACAAATCATGTGCTTTTAATGTAAAGAGCATTTGAATTTAAAAATGAGAAAAATGCAGAGTATACTGTTATATGAAGCATCATGAGGTGTGCACTCTAAACAATGCTGTGTTGTTTGAGCCCAAATTTGGGTAAAATGTGGACAAACCCAAATGTTTGGTTAAAAATCTTCAACTTTCACTTTCAACTGTACGTTTTTTAATTGCATTTTTAACCCAGCATTTGGGTCCATATTTGACCCACATTTGGGTGATATGAGTATGTCAAACACTACTGCACTCAGAGCGTGGCCCATTTGTGTTTTAAATGAATGCAAGAGTCTAGTATGAAACAGCCAATAATGCTTTTTAGTATTTGTTTTTCAATTAAAAAAATTAACATTGGTAACCTAAAGCTGTCCCAGACAGCAAACTGACATTGAATCAACGTGGAAACGACGTCTCTCATGACATTGAAACAACGTTGATTTGCTCATCGAATTAACGTTGAACCAACGTCAGACGCGGCATTCTTCAAAGCTAAATGAAATCGAAAATTGGTTTGCTTTCATAACGTTGAAACAACGCGTTGATTTCAAGTTGATTTTCCATTAGTTTTGAAAGAATGACGCGTCTGACGTTGGTTCAACGTTAATTCGATGAGCAAAACAATGTCAGATCAACGTTGTTTCGATGTCATATTTCCACGTTGATTCAATGTCAGTTTGCTATCTGGGGTGATTCATAAATTTGGTATACACTCTAAAAAATGTTGGGTTGTTTCAACCCAAATTTGGGTCAAATATGGACGAACCCGAATGTTGGGTTAAACATGTCATTTAAAGTGTTAACCCAACTTCAACTTTCACTTTCAACGGTACATTTTTTTTTTTTTTTTACTTTTTATTTATATTTTTCACAGAACATAACAAAAGGAACATTATCTGAGACAATAAGAGATTTCAAGTGATAAAATAACAAGAATAATACAAAGAAAAAATAAATAAATAGCCTAAATAAATACAAATATTCGGTATATATATATATAGCTGCACCTAGTATTAATGTTCACATCTCAACAAACATGATACATATAAAATATATAATGTTAAAAAAAAAAAAGATTATAGATTTAAATATTATTTAACCATGTGCCACCTCTGATTAAAAAGGTCAGTTTTCGATTGTAATGATGCAGTCATTTTTTCCATCATGTAAATCTGTTTCCATTTGGTTACAGTTGGTGATTTCACAGACTTCCAATTAGCAGTGATGTTTTTTTTTTTAGCGATAAGTAGTAAAATATATTGAAAACATCAACTGATATAACAACCAGTAAGAAAAAAACGTACATTCGAGGGAACTTCTCTTACATTTTTAACCCAACATTTGGGTTTTTCCATATTTGACCCAAATTTGGGTTGAAACAACCCAGCATTGTTTAGAGTGTATGTATTTGAAACAAGCAAAAAAATAAAAGTGACACATAACTGTGCGTGTGATTGATTAACTGGTCAACTTAGGTAGATAAAGCCATTGATTTACAATAAATCTTTCTTTGGCGCTGATTCTCTCATTTAAAGGCATTACATTTACTCCATGTATCTTATTCTTGAACAACAGATGAGGCAGCTTAAATGCACAAGCAAAAATACCACATTTATGAAGACGATGCGTGTAAACGTATTCGCAAAATTCTCTCATTTAAACTGGCCCTTTCTGAAGGTCACACAACAAGACAAATTCTTTAAAATTATGATGAAAAAAACCCCCGCCAAATCTCTTGAGAGTTCATCATTATTTTTCAAGACATATGCACTACTCTGCGGTGACATTTGGACGGGATCCAGAGCGTTCGCTGCCAGATCTGGAGTGGATTCTGATAGGCTGCAGCTGCCCTGAACGGTATTGAAAGGATTGAGTGACAGCACTGAATCCAAACTACACTAAAAAGTCAAACTGGGCATTGAAAACCCATTGAGTTTGACCTCGAAGGCTGTTTGTAGACCTGCAGTGATTGGATGACTGTCATGTGACATAATGAAGGATAACATGTGGCCCTACTGAGGTCAACGCACAGTTTATTGGATGCTACATTCACCAGTTTCCGATTCTTCTACATTATACATGTTTAGTTTATCTAAACAATCACTTCCAAACAACAGTTGACTAAATCCTACGGCTCCACCACAAACAAACGTTGCGATACTGTGACGAGACACTGCACTGTCCTTTTCCAAAGCGGAGGTTCATAGCAGGAGGGCAAGCAGCTAATAACACACAGGCACAGCAGAAACGCTCTTCCCCTCGACATTTACAGCCTTGCGGAGTGAGTTTGATCGACCATCTGGCCTCGGAGAAGTGCGTTGTAAAAACAGTGAGATCAATGGAGGCATGTGTGCTGTGGATGCCCACCATTACACAACCCGTGTTAAACTAGCGCACGGATCTGCTCTCTTCGGACTCGAGAGGTTTCGTTTCCACGCTCACGACGGGCCAAACTAGCAGAATGGATCCAGGGTGGACACCGATACACATTTACCCAGCAAGCAATTCTGCGTTTAAAAGACGTCTAATAGCGTGCAAACACAGCCCAGACGTCTAGGTCTGAAACAAGGCACAATTTGGGCGTCTAAACCATATCCCAAGAATCATAGTCATCAATTAGATCACAAAGAAATGCAATGAGTGAAGAAATGAAAGAAAAATCACTGTTGACTTTGCTTACATGATGGAATATCACACATCTCGCAAGTTATTCTGGCACAAACGACATAGGACCAAATTCAAGGTTAGTGTGTTACTCACAGCCGGATTATATGGTTAACCTAGACGGTGAAATATAACACTGATGATCATATTTACAGGGTTCTTCAGAAGTATTGAACACTTGATCACTCTCTGTTTGCTTGAGGATATTAGTGCATTTGACTCAACGCACACATTATTTTTCATTTCAAATGTGCCGTTGAAATATTAAAGAGGGTGCTGGGAAAACATTTCCGTGAAAATAGAGAGAGAGATCTGAGCTGTCAAAAATCACAAATCACAAATCTCCAGCACAATGTCATTGAAGTCACAGCCAGAGTCATCAATCAACATGCCATGGAAACACACTCCTCTGAATGCTCCTCTTATTAAAAAGAATTAAAATCATCGCAGTGAGAGAGGAAAAAAAAAACTGAATGTAGTTCACTCACATTTAGTGCCAAACTATAATGGAATTAAATGTAAAATGCAACGGAAAAAGAACAAACTAAAGCCACTGTGTACATTTTCTATTTTAACTGCATTAATGTGCCACTCTTTCTTCATGTGTTGGGGAAGTTGGAGGCTGTGCTTGGGCATGTTAATGTCTCATAATGACATTTAGAGCCATTTTTCTGCATTGCATCGAACCACTTGTCAAAAGTGATCTGCCTTCAGACAAACCTGTATTGATCTTCATTGGGCTCCTGTCTCCACGCGCCACACATATTTCAGCTTCTCAGACGGAGAAAAATCTCTGCTTGTCAGGTTGCATGAGTGCACTCTTTTTCACTGTATTAGCGAGGACCTTCAGCCTGGCGACACGGTGCGTAAAGCTGAGCTTTCCAGGCAAACTTCAGCGCAAGCTCACCTGTTAAGACTTGTGAATTTACAAGAAATAAATACCGCAATGCCACTGTTCTCGCCAAATGTTCCACGTGCTACATTTTCAACAGTTAACATTTTGTTTTTCTCTCCAAATCAACGCAGCACCATCTGTTCCGAAGACGCGCGCCACGCGCATCTACATTTCTAGCGCTTAAACACTCCGTGCAAGACATTTGTTTCACTTTATTGAATACGAAAGGCAAACTAACACCAGATCCGAGCACTTTAAACACTCATACAAACATTCGATCGGTCAGATAAAGAGTCCGTGCCCGTTACGCATTCTCTTACCTATCCGAATGACATGGGGCATCCCGAAAGAGCTGTGAATCCAGAAGAGACCCACTATTATCGCGCTCCAGTATTCCACATATTCCCTCCTGTTCTTCATGACTGGAAAACACTGGGATCAATCCAAGGAGCTCTCCAAAAAAAAAAACTGCTCATCAAATTTTAAATGGCTGGGAGTCATATGAGGATTGGACTGACTGCGACAGATTTGCTCTCATTGTAGTTGGTTTGAACACGAGCTCGCTCTATTAATGATTGTAGTCATTCATTTGAGTGCATGAGTGCGCGCGCGCCCGGGTCTCAGACGGAGCTCGGGATCCACCTGCGAGTCTGAGCTGCTGAAATCTGCCTGCAGGAGTCCCTGTATCCCTCTGAATATCCCTGTATCTCCTCCTACCGCTGATGCCGCAACAACCGGGCTGGAGTCCCGCGTCAGTGTGGATGGGGACTAGAACGCGTTGCACCGGCCGCGTCGCGCTGTTCGCGTATTGCGTGCTGGCAGAACTGCGCAGAAAGACATCGACCGAGGTCTAATATTTGGACTTGTTGGGTTCAACAACACTGTGGGCTCACATTGAAAACATGGATGCAAAGTTTTAGGATTTCTAAAATGTTAAACATCCATGATGTAAATGGAAGGTGAAATAATTCAGATTTGGACACCAATCAAATGTGTGTGATATTGTCCGTGTTGACTCCTCAGATTTCCACTCACTGCTTCATTGAAGTGCAAGATTTGAAAAATTCTCACATGATCATGCTGGATAATGTGGATTTCTGACATCATTGACATCTAAATACAAACCTGTTTTTTTTTTTTTTTTTTTTTTTTTTAATTGAGCTACTGGCTTTTCTGACTTTTGTTAAATAATAATTTTTAAGGGTATAGTGGTCATAACCTTTGAACTCTAAATAATAAATCCACTGCATGGGTTGAATTTTGAGTAATTTCGCTAATTTAGTGTCAGCCATTTTTTTTTACCATGTATCAAACATGAAAAATCGGCAATTTATTTGGAAATATTTTAAGTGCTTCTTTATTTTTAATAAATAAATAAAAATATTACTTTTTTTATTTTACCTTTCCTAATAGAAATGATTCAAACATTGTTTGTGATTATAGTTTTAATTGACAATCAATGTGTTCATCTCCACACATTTCATCTGCTTGACTTTATCCACCTTAATTTTCAACGCATTCTCATCCCAAGGCGTCATACACTGACGCTTTTACCAATGCATATACACCTGATGATAACAAGCAAGATCACTGAAGGAGAAAACCATATTTGAAGTCACCATTATGGAGATCAGTGTGTGTTTTAGTTGGGCCATTTCTTAATTCAGAATTTGTAATTCTTGAGTTCCTAATTAATCTTTGAAGCCAGGCTGTTTTTTTCTGATATTTTTGTTTTAAAAAATGTGTAAATTCTACTCATTTTAAATGGTTAACTTTTAAGTAATTCATGTGGTTAGTTATTACTCAATTCTAATTTGTTCAATTTAATTAATAATATTGATTGTAATCTGTTGCCTCAATTTTATTGATTATATTTAACATATTCAGTCGTATTCATTTTTACAGTGTGTTAATGGGTGTCTGGTTTGTAGCTGTACAAAGCAGCTTGTTATTGCAAACTAGTATTTTTAGCTAATTATAAACACGCTGATTTGTTGCGTATTTTCAGTTTACTGCACTTTGATAAATGATAATGAATCTGCAGTCTTGCACATTCACAGAAAACAGTGTTGGAAAATAAGGTGGAAAGTATCCCTTTAACTGACACAAGCAAGTTAATGACATCATCCACCAGGAAGTGACTTTTTTTGGGGGAGGGAAAAGAGAGCAGAAACCTGGATTTGATGGATGTTGTGATATTAGTTGGTTCGTCTCATTCCAAAAAGTGAATAATACCAAAATCCTGTTCATTTCACAGTCCCAGTGTTCTAAATGCACTGCAGAAAAGGAATGAGTCTACCATAAACAATTATGTTTTAAGTGCTTGTTGAGCATTAGTGTTATAATTACCCTTGTAAAAGCGTGGCTCTCGAGGGTTTTCTTGATAGTGTGACAGGGCGGATGGTATTTACTGCACTGATCCATGAGTTTCCTCAAGTGCTGGGCACGTGTCAAACCAATATTTGCATGTCTCTGTCTTCACCTCGACGCCACTGAGCGCAAGAAGTCTTGGCATTTGAAAAACACCTCTCTTAACACTATTTGCGGTGTCAGGTTTAGCTTCGTAAAGACTTGATTAAATGATGGTCCTCATAATGGCCTCTGGTGTTCGCACTTAGCATGAAGCGTTAGAGCGGCTAGAGCGTTTTCATCACACAAATGATCCATCTTTAACATCCACTGAAATACCTGTTTAACATCTATTAGTTTCTTTCATATATGCCTTACCTAAAAAAAAAAAAAAGATTTAATATTGTGACTTAGCTCGACTTCTCCCAGTCTATCTGAATGACTTTTAAATTGCTTAACGGTGAAAAAAAAAAAGTAATTATAATAGGACACGATTAAGCTGCATCAACATAAAGCACTATTAGAGTGACAAATGCAAATGACTAAAACGAAACACAATAACCAATTCAATTTAAAATATAACTTGAACAGAAATGAACTAGGACACGCAAGGACATCCACCGTCTGTAAACAGTATTATAAAGAGAATACAAAACGATTATTGAAAATATAAACACAAACACACTGAGCAATTAACTGACAGCTTCATACATGATCAAATAGTTTTGTATGAAACCGCTTGTGATTAGACTGTCTGTATTAATTTTGCCTGAATGAATGTTATTAATTGATTTTCTTAAATTATAATATTATAAATTATAAGAGAGGCTCGGGAGCGCGCATGCACGTTACATCCGATGGAGTTCGCAGAAAATCCGACCCGGAGACCAGGAATACTGGCCTTCAGGGGTAATAGAAAAACCCCACAAGTGGATCATTGTAATGTGTGATTACATCCCCTTCACAAGGCAATAAAAAAGTGATTTATTTTAGAAGAAAAGTTACATATAGCACCTTTAAGATAAAGGCCTAATTATCCTGCCGTGTGAACCAGGCTAAAGCAGATGCATATGTAAAATAACACGATCATCAACTTTAAAACTGCCCAAAGTCAAAGAATGAAAAGTCGACCCAGGACGAGTTACAGGAGTGTGAAGCTTTACGGTGTTAATGAACTCGATCTATTCCATCTGTGTTTTCATCATCGTCTTTGACAAAATATGCTTTTTCAGCTTTTTGCTCAAAATATTGCTCTTTTATTAAACGTTCCCACACATTGAAGTGTTGATAAAAAAACAATGCATCAAGCTAGAATAAAACAGGGTTTGTGTTTGTTTTTTAAAAGCAGAGGCTGTTCTTTCTTTTGACATATTGCATTTATACAATAAAATATTCTGGTGGCCATTAAACTTGTGAAAACGCTGAAGCTGGATGGCAATGTTTTTCTAAAACGCCGGCGGGGAAAGAGTTAAAAACATTGCAAGATTTCTTGTGTTATGATCAGTATTTCTGCTTTACTCACTGTCACTATGCACACATGGTTAATGGATATGGAGAATAGAGAAGGAGATTGACTTTGCTCATTCACACACACAGTAAAGCCACATCTGTGAGCTTTTGAACAGGATGATTTAAAAGTCAAATACGGTTGTCACTCGCGGTTGTGAACGTAACCTACGAGCTTCGAAACAAAGGTTTTACACGGGCGTCTACATCTTTAAGCTAATCAGCTTGTTCTCAGAGACAAAGATTAATTCTAGGTGACTGCCCAGTGGAATGAAGAAATACGGCAAACCATTAAAATGATGGAGAACGATAGCAGGTCTACAAGGGAAGAAGCTGTTGACAGAGAACGGCACTTACGCTCTTTATTTGCGCCACTTGATCTGTGTCAGTGAGTACATTAGAGCCACATAACTGCTCATTGTGCTTATCTGTCTTTCCATTTCTCATGTTTTATGTGATGCCGTCAGCTGCTCGCCACAGGTGAATCATGGTGGTTTCAGGGCTGAATACCTACAGTACCTGTGAGTAGTAAAACTGAATAAGTGTGTTTCTTCCCATCTGTGACACGAGGAGTTCATTATTGACGTTCAGTGTTTTATAGTGCAGAGTGCATTGATGTGGCCATCTGTGGTGAGACAGCAGACTGATCATAACAGTCCCTCCAGGATTTCACGATTTTTTTTTTGTGATTTTTGCGATCAAAATGACTGATTTTGTGGTGGTAATTTCCAAAAATTTGTGAAAAAATGTGCGATTTATATATAACATTTACCATAATAGTATTCAGTCCTTCCAGAAAAACGCAGAGTTTTTTGTGGTTGTTGAGGGCAAAAATTGATTGATTACGCGGCCCGTTTTCTTTAAAAATGCGATGGAATATGCGGGATATTTATGCAATTTTATGAGATGAAATTGCAGGAACTTGCAAAAATTGCTGTTTGATGAAAAAGAGAAAAAAAGTGATTCCCCCAACACCCTGTTCTCACTAGGCTAATGTAAGAGTCATTTCTTATTAATTCTTTTGATAAGCAAGCATACTACATCATAGAAAGTGCTGGGAATATTTAATTTCTCATCTTGTTTTATTTCAGACTGTAGCGAGTGTAAATAAGGTGTGGCCCCTTTAAGAGCTGCGCGCTCCCTGTTGAACTCTCTGCAGTGTTATATGTGCGCCTCGAACGCCCCATGTGTGCGGGTAATTTCTGTTTGATGTTACTTCTTTTATCTTATGTTGTTTATTAAGTAACGATGTGACGGTAGAACGTGTGACAGACAGTTATACGAGTTCGATTTGTGAGATGTCAATCGCCTCCGTGAGTCTGTCTGGTGTCGCGTAATTGCGTCACTTCATAACGTTCCCATGGAAACAGGGGGAAATGGCTGCTCTTGTGTGAAGCAAACGCAACATTTTTCAACTTTCTGCTAAGATACATGTGACTTTTTTTGCAACGAAAATGCGAGGATTATGAAATTATGCAAACCCCGCATATTTTGCACGGAAATCGGCATATTATGCGGCAAAAGTGCGGCGTATTTGAAAAAATGCGGAATTCAGCGATCGCATAATCGCGTTTTTCTGGAGGGACTGTCATAACAACAGAGCGTCTCCCCATACAATCCCAGAGGAGCGCGTTACATATCTCCAGAGATTTCAAGTTAAAAGGATACTTCAGGAATTAGCATTAAGCTTTGTATTAGTAGGAAACCTGTAGTATTTTCGAATGACCATGCTTTCCACCCTCATAAAACACTGAGACGAGAGATTTATGTAGTTTTTGTCTGAAAAAAAATAAATAAAAATCATAATTTTGAGTCATCTGAG